ATCATCTCTAATCTTGAACGAAGCTGATGTAAATTCTTTTCATATTTGCTTTCATATCAAGGTCCACTTGGAATGACAAGTAACAGAAGTATCGAAATCGTCCAAAAGTCGACATCCTGTGAAAACCTCCACGCTATCGCACCAGGAACAATGGGAAAAGGTTCTGTTGGCTCACCGGAGAGTCGACTTGAAAAACTTGAAGGAGTTCCGGACGATACCCGTGTTTTCAAGGGGGAACTGGAGGGAAATCTTCCCCCTGAAACGTTGTCAAGGCCACCACGACAGCTAAATCTTCGAGGAGGCGGGCAAATCTTTGTAAAAACATTGACTGGAAAGACGATCAGTTTGGAAGTGGAACCGTCAGACACCATTGAGAATGTGAAAACAAAAATTCAAGACAAAGAAGGAATTCCACCGGAGCAGCAAGGTCTTATATTTGACGGGAAGCAATTGGATAATGGCCGTTATCTGAGTGACTACAATATTCAGAAAGAATCAATACTTCACTTGGTTTTAAGACTGCGTGGTGGCATGCAAATATTTATAAAAACATTGACTGGAAAGACGATCACTTTGGAAGTGGAGCCTTCAGATACGATAAAGAAGGTGAAACGGAAAATTCAGGACATAGAGGGTATCCCACCAAGCAAGCAACATCTGATCTTTCATGGGCAGCGATTGGAAGATGGCCGTTGTCTTAGTGACTACAATGTTCCGAAAGAAGCGACTCTTCACTTGGTTTTAAGACTGCGTTGTGGCATACAAATCTTTATAAAAACATTGACTGGAAAGACGATCACTTTGGAAGTGTACCCTTCAGATACGATAAAGAAGGTGAAACTGAAAATTCATAACAAAGAGGGTATCCCACCAAGCCAGCAACATCTGATCTTTAAGAGGCAAGAACTCAAAGACCACCAAACGTTACATGAATACAAAGTCACAAACAAATCTTCGGTACATTTGCGACTCGAGGACGAACTTGATAGAATACTTATCAATGTGGAGTTTTCAACTGGAAGGAAGATTTTAATAAATGTTTCACCAAAGGATGATCTTGAGAGCGTGAGAAAAATGATCTCTGATAGAGAAGGGATTCCAGTTGATCAACAACGCCTCAGTTTTGCTGGCAAAGAAGTTGTAGACGACCACCTTCCTCTAAGTGAGTACCACAATGAGATTGAATTATCTTTGCAACTGGATGTGAAACAACAAAAAAATGAATTCCTTCTTCATGTGAAGACACCAACCGGAAAAACAAAGATCAAAGTTGAAGCTGTATCGGGAGATACCATCCACGATGTGAAAAGGAAAATAATGGAAGAGATTGGAATACCGCCACATCAGCAACTACTTATGTTTAACAGTCAGGAAATTGAAGATGAGCGCCGCACGCTGGAAAGCTACGACATCAACAGCGACTCCATCA